AATCTGAACCGGTGCGTGTATGCCCCTTGAACCTGAATATTGCATGGTTTAACACCCTCCCATAATCACAGCTTGGACAAGTTGAGATTACGCTTAAACTCTTCAAAACTTTTGGTAGGTAAGGCTTTAGTGAAGCCATCCGCAACTTGATCTTGAGATCGAATAAACCGAATGTCCAGCTTTTTCTCTGCAACTCTTTCTCTGACAAAATGAAAATCTATTTCTATGTGTTTTGTTCTTGCATGAAATATTGGGTTAGCAGAAAGATAGGTCGCACCCAGATTGTCACACCATAAACATGGAACTTGCTTACTGTGTATCCCAAGCTCTTTCAGTAATGACTGAACCCAAATGATTTCTGCAGTAGCATTTGCTAGTGCCTTGTATTCTGCTTCTGTGCTGGATCTGGACACAGTAGCTTGTTTCTTAGCACACCATGAAATTAAATTTGGACCAAGGAACACTGCAAAACCTCCTGTTGAGCGTCTGTCATCTAGACATCCTGCCCAATCAGAGTCAGAAAAGGCACTGACAAGTGTTGATGGTGACTTGGTGAAGGTGAGTCCAACATTGAAAGTGTTCCTGACATATCTAAGTACGCGTTTCGCAGCTGTCAAATGTACTGTAGTGGGTGCATGAAGAAACTGGCATACTTTGTTCACAGCAAAAGAAATATCAGGCCTGGTCAGAGTTAAGTATTGCAATGCACCAACCATACTTCTGTACCTGGTGCTATCCTCTTGATTCAAGAGGTTTCCTTCAGTTAAGGATAACTTCTCAGAGCTGGATAAAGGTGTTGGAGCTGGCTTGCAACCTTGCAACCCTGCTCTTGCTACAAGATCAGTTGCATACTTCTCTTGGGACAGATGAAGCTCATCTCCATTTCTTTTTACTTCAATGCCAAGGAAGTAGTGTAAGTCTCCTAGATCCTTAAGAGCAAACTCAGAGTTCAAGTCCTTAAGAAATGCTGAAATAGCTTCATCAGGTGAGCTTATGACAATAATATCATCAACATATATGAGTACAAATATAGATGTATTTGACTTGTTGAAAATAAACAATGAGGTGTCAGACTTGGAAGGAGCAAACCCAAGTCCTTGAAGCTTTGAACTCAACCGAGAATACCATGCTCTGGGAGCTTGCTTTAATCCATATAGAGCCTTGTCAAGCTTGCATATGTGAAGGGGTTTTTGTCTGTTTTCAAACCCAGGAGGTTGTTTCATGAACACTTCCTCTTCCAGAACACCATGAAGAAACGCGTTCTGTACATCTAGTTGGCGTAGACTCCATCCTCTCGATACAGCAATAGACAACACGAGACGAATAGTAGCAGCCTTTACGACAGGACTGAAAGTATCCTCATAGTCTAGACCGTACCTTTGCTTAAAGCCTTTTGCAACTAGTCTAGCTTTATAACGATCTATGGTGCCGTCAGATTTCTTTTTAATTCTGAAGACCCATTTACAATCTATAACATTTTTACCTTTGCCTCGATGTGCTGGAACTAAGTGCCAAGTTTTATTCTTGTGAAGCGCCATGTATTCATCTTTCATAGCCTTCTGCCACTTTGGATCACCTAGAGCTTCTGCAACAGAGGTTGGTATATCTGGTTCATGTGAGATACAAGCAAGTCCAAATTTTGCCAAAGACTTGTAGTTTTTGGGTTGAGTTACTCCCCTCTGAAGCCTAGTGCGAGGAAGGTCCGCAGAAGATCCAGCGCCAGGAGCAGCTGCCGGCTCGCTGGGCGAGGTCATGCAGGTCGGATCTTCTGTGGCCGGTTCACGTGACGCTGAAGAAGAGGGAGCCGCAGAGGATCCCGATCCTGCATGGGGCTCATGATCCGCCAATGATTGGAGCAGCGGGCCAGGAGCTGCCGCAGAATCCACATGGGAGTCAGCGCCCGAGTCCGGCTGCGATGAGCGCCGTGCGTAACAGCGCGTGTCGGGGCCGAACCGACTAGGTGCAGGGCCAGGCGCGGGGCCAGACGCGAGACCAGGCGCGGGGCCAGGCACGGGGGGCTGGAGAAGGGGCCGCGTGGCGCTGGCGGGTTGGCGCGGAGCGGACGCCGAGCCGCGGTTGGCGTGTGGCGCGGCGAGACTCGAGGCGGATCCGCCTGGCGCTGCGGGCGCGGATCCCGCTGGAGTCAGGTTGGCAGGCTGGCGCAGGTGGGATCCTGAGGACGATACGCCCGGATCCCGAGGAAGATCTGCTCCGGTGCTGCTGCCAGTTAGTCCAGGGAGCATAAAATGATGATGGAGGCTGATTTCTTCACCATTTTTTGCAGAATTTTTTTCTGTTGCATCATAAGACTCAACACCATCATTAGTAGGAGGATTAGTCAACAATTCATCACTAGTGTCTAAAACGTCCCCATTGTCACCACCGGTGAGATGTGAAGGTAGAAGGAGAATTTCTTTTTGAAGAAGGGCTCCGGCGTTTGGGTGAAGTTGTGCAAAAGGGAAGATAGTTTCATCGAAGACAACGTCACGGGAAATATAGACACGTCCAGTAGATACATCAAGGCACTTCACACCTTTATGTTGTGGACTATAACCCAAGAATACACACTGTTTTGACCGGAACGTGAGTTTGCGATTGTTGTAAGGCCTAAGATTCGGCCAGCACGCACACCCAAATACACATAGTGATGTGTAATCTGGTTTTGTGTGAAGGAGACGTTCTACTGGAGATTCATTGTTGATGACTCTACTAGGCAACATATTTATGAGGTGGACGGCGGTGAGGAAAGCCTCATCCCAGAATTTCAAAGGCATGGAGGCAGCAGCAAGCAGAGCCAAGCCAACTTCAACTATATGCCTGTGTTTGCGCTCGGCTGATCCATTTTGTTGGTGAGCATGGGGGCATGACACGTGGTGTCATATGCCAATTTGTTGAAAAAAGGAGTTGAGGTTGCGATACTCCCCTCCCCAATCGGATTGGAGTGCTAAGATTTTGCAATCGAACTTTCTTTCAACTAGTGCTTGAAAGTTGTGAAAGACTTGAAAAACATCAGATTTCTTTTTGATAAGATAGATCCATGTGTACTTGCTATAATCATCGATAAAACTTACGTAATAAGTGTGTCTACCAACTGATGTAGGAGCAGGACCCCAGACATCTGAAAAAATGAGCTCAAGAGGTTTGGTGGAAATACTTGTAGACACAGGGTAAGGTAACTGATGACTTTTAGCACACTGACAAGAATCACAAATTGTTTCACGATCTCGCTCACAATCAAACGGGAGCTTATTCTTTCTGAGCAAATGTTCGACTAAAGAAAAAGATGCATGCCCTAATCTATCATGCCACCGTGTTGAAGAGACTTTGGTGACACCATAGGCTTGTTTATTCAATCTCCTAGGCTCCGGAATCAACGGGTAAAGCCCTCGAACGCATCTACCTCGATACAGAATTTTCTTCGTGACCTGATCCTTGATCAAAAAGAAAAACGGATGAAACTCAAGGAATACATGATTGTCAATGGCGATGCGATGAACTGAAAGGAGATTTTTTTGAAGCACTAGGGACATGCAAGATTTTTCTTAGGCGAATTTTTTTGTGAGGAGTTTTAAGCACTGAATGACCAACGTGACTAATGCTCATACCTTCTCCATTCGCGGTGTGAACTTGGTCTTGCCCACGGTACTTTTCACGAACTGTCACTTTTTCAAGCTCGCTGGTGATGTGGTCAGTTGCGCCACTGTCCACATACCAGTTCGTGTCGATGCCGTAGGAGCCATCAGCAGCACCTGCAACTTTTTCATCCTGTGAGGATTCGCCGTCTTCTTCGTAGCGATACCAACAATCGCGAGCGGTGTGGCCTAACTTGCCACAAATTTGGCATCGCGGCGCGTCAGGGTTGGTGCGAGGCCTGCCACCACGGCGGCCCTTGTTGTTGTTGTTGGAGGGCCGCCCGCCGCCGCCGCCGCGGAAGGAGTTGCCACTGCTGCTGTTTCCGCCAGATGGCGGTTTGCCTTTGCCGCGCGGTGGCCCACGATAGCGTGAGCTGCCACCGCCGCGGCTGCCACCACGGGCGACAGCATTAGCAGAAGACTTGAAGCCCCCACCCGAGTTGTTGTTGTAGAGGGCGAGGCGCTGATCAAAGTTGCTCATCTGAGCGTAGAGATCGTCGATGCTGATGGTGTCGGTGCGCGCGTCGTTGGCGGAGACGAGGGGTTGGTACTCCATGTCGAGGCCGGCGGGGATGTAAGAGACAAGCTCATCGTCGTCGATTGGCTTCCCAGCGGCTGCAAGCTCATCTGCTAGCGCTCTCATCTGGGCGAAGTAGGCAGCGACAGACTGCGTTCCCTTCTGCGCCGTGGAGAGAGCGACCCGGATGTTGTTGACGCGGGCTCGGGACTGCGACGAGAACATGTGGGCAAGAGCTGCCCAGAGCTCGTGCGGCGTGGCGATGGAGGTAACCTGCACGAGAACCTCCTTGGTGAGAGTATTGAGCAAGTATCCGAGTACCTGCTGCCCTTCTCTGAACCAGATCGGATGGAGAGGGTTCATCGTCTGCTCTTCTTTCCCGTCTTTGTCCTTCGTGACGAGGATCTTGACAGGTTCTGGCATGGTGCCGTCGGCGTAGCCGAACAGCCCAGCTCCTCTCAGCTGCGGCGTCACCTGCGCACGCCATAGGACATAGTTGGTGCGGGTGAGTTTTTCTGCGACCTGCCCAAGGGAGGCTTGGCCGGTGCTGGAGGAGGAGGACGACATGGCTGCGGTGGATGGTGCTAACTAGATGCGATGGATAGAGGTGGCTCTGTATACCATGTAAAACAGCGGAGAACGTCATACCTCTCTCGAGGCGACGGTTGCGTGTTAATATAGGCAGGGGCATATCCCTGATAAGCATACAAGTTGTTGAGATTACATCTTGAGGTACAAGGAAAGTAGAGATAAGATATGCATGAAAAGATTACAACTCAACTAACCTAAACCGAATCTATCTCAATCTGAACCGGTGCGTGTATGCCCCTTGAACCTGAATATTGCATGGTTTAACATAGTGTTAGCGAGCTAGGACCAGATCTCAGCTTCCCAGCCACGAGGCCTGCTACGACGATTATGGCCAAAGGTAAACCTCCACATTTCTGAAGAAGAACTTTAGCTGCATCAGTGGGCTCATCAGAAGCCGTGCAGATGATTTGACGGAACAGTTTGTAGGAGTTCTCTTCAGTGAGTGGGTGCTGCTCGTACATATGACCATTTCGACGGCAGCAGGCAGCAGCTACAGACCTAAACCTTGTTGTCGCCACTATGACACCCATGCTTTGGGGCAAAGAATCATTAATTTTTTCCCATGCTGATACAGACCATATGTCATCTATCAGAACAAGGTACCTATTTCAAGCATTGATTTGAAACCAAGTAAGCATTACAGAGCAAAATCATAAAGAGCACAAAGAATTGACTTGTTCAAGTAGGCACTAGAATAGCAACGTCATATATACCACAAAGAACATACTCATTATGTGCGTGTTTGTCTGTTTGAAGGTAAGATGGTGGAAAACAGACAGATGATGTCCAATTTTGTGGACTGCAAAAAGAAATTGCAACTAGAAATATAAGAGTGTGTTCCGAATAAATAAAATGAAATATTTGGTTTAGTAGCCGGAGCACCGGAATTTGTTACGGTGGTGGTGGTAATGTATCAGGAGGTCCATGGAAGGCGATTTAATCTTCAGATTGATCATTCATTGTCTTAGGTTGTTTTCCTTTTGTCGAGACTTTTATAGACTATCATTATGCTTTGTTTCTTCTTCTTTTGTGGCCTGCGTGCATCTTATTGCACAAAGTCCAAGTGTGTACTCTTTTGACGATTTTAGTCTATAAAAACTCACTTTATCGAAAGACAAAAACCAAAGCAGAATACATCATACCTTTTGTCTTTTAATTGGGCGGCGAGTTTCTTCTTGAGCTGTATTTCCCCCCATTCCTCAAATCTGTCAAGCAGATCAGCTGGAGATGTATGGGTCTGCTGCCTATGGAACTGCTCAACAAGACTCCTCAGAAGCATCACAAGATTGAACTTCTTTGAGACCTGCACGAATGCTCTGTGGTGAAATTTATCTCCATATTTATCGTACAGTTCCCTGGCGAGTCTGGACTTGCCAAGGCCACCGATTCCGAAGATGGCGAGAGTCCTGTTGTTGTAATTGGTCCTTGACTCCAGATCACAACCTGGTGAATCCTGGTATTCTAACAATACCTCGAGCTTTTCTACGGTAGAGTCCAGGCCCACAGGCCGCTCCCTAACAACGAACTGGGGTGGAGGGGCAACATGGTCACTACTAGGATCTTCAGTTTCCTCAGCTTCACTGCATCCATCTTTAGTAGTGGGGTTCTCCACCCCGTACCTCATGCGCCGGTTGCTGATATCCTGCGCCCAAACCTTGAGGTTGCCGATCTCGGTGGCGACGCAGCGCCGCGCATTCAACGTGGTGAGCAGGTACCATGCCTTCCTGATGAACATGAGTTTGTCGTTCCCGCGGGGCTCGGGGCCGAGGCGGTGGTTGACATCCTCTATGTCATAGACCATGTCGCGCACCTGCTTCATCCAAACCCGCCTCTGCTCGTCATGGTTGCCGGCCCGCTCGATTGCGGTAAGGAAAGCCTGCATGCTGGCCATCTCGTCATTAATGTACCTGATGTCGTCGCGGACGCCTTGGATCAGGCCGTACTGCTGAGCAAGAAGGCTCCCGAGCTTGCCGACAAGAGATTTCACGGCGTCGCTCGAGGCGCCCACGGCAAGGTCCATGGCCGGCTCGCTCTTGTTGGTTATTTGGGTGACGATCAATATGAGATGCAGATGCAACGCAGTCAACGGGGAGGCTGAATACTAGTCCGTAGAAGCAAATGATTTAGTTTTTCTGTTGAACGAACTGGTACAGGCAAATGTTAGTGGGCATTGTTTAAGGAGAGAGGAATCGTGGACAGTATAATTAAGCATGGCCTGCTTGGCAACTTGGGAGAAGTTTCCGCAAAATCAATAGCCCACATAAAAGGGCATGTAGCTCCCGCTTGCGCAGGGTCTGGGGAAGGGTCCGTCCACTTCGGGTCTATTGTACGCAGCCTTTCCCTACATTTCTGCAAGAGGCTGTTTCCAGGATCAATAGCCCACATGGGTTAGAATAAGAGGGCAACATATGCAATCCCGTAAACAGAGTTCTCCCAGTTGGTTATTGGCGGAAGTATTATTTGTTTGAGTCTGTTGCCCTATAAAACCGCCACAATTGCCTTTATTAATGCCGACTGAAATTTTTCTTCGCCGAAAACCGATGCAGAGCTAAGAGTTGTTGTATAGGAGTTAATAGACCCATAAGACAAAACCGTCTTATCAACCATGGTATATGTACTGCTTTATCAACCGCCATGGTGCATATATATCCTTGGCGTAGGGACTGGAATCCAACATGGTCGTACCATATTGTTGGAAATAGAAATTTAGCTTAGCTGTAATGCCAGCTATAATAGCTTGCATGTGGTTCTGGCTCTGGATCAGGGTGGATCCGATCAGCTAGCCAACAATAAAGAAGATAGAGCTCAGAATGGAACTGCCAGCTATGGCTTAGCATGTGGTTCCGGTTTTGGTTCTGGAGCCGATGAGCTAAGCAACAATAAACAAGATATAGTGACCTCTCGAAGGATGGAAGCACCAACGACCTCGATCTCGCCCCTTCTCTCGCCGAGAAGCCCGAGCAGCAAACTAGCATTCTGCTTGTAGGTAGCAGAGGAGTCAACGCCGGAAGGAAGGCGAGAATGATCGAGCGCTAGCAAGATTCTGGCTGCATACATACAGTTCACGCTACAATCAGAAGTTGAATGCTCGTCATTGTTCATGGATCAGGTACTTTGCAGCTTTCCGTAAAAAAAATAGTCTCTTCAAAACTTGTATTCGCTTGCCAGCCTCCTTGATTTGACCTGTCTCTTTCTTCCCCTTCATCCGAAGAAGGGAAACCATGACACAGAGATGGCGATAATCTCCGATCAGGAGATGATTTACGAGATGATCAGGAAACTACTCAATGAGATGGAGCCGCTTCCTGGGAGGATGTCCAACCTGCCGGACAAGCACCGAGATCAGCCTGTCAGCAGGACTGTAGGCCTCCAACTCCAGAGCTTCGAGTTCATCCAGGCTGAGCTGAGCAGCACGATAGAATTACCGAGCCACCTGCTATCCTCAGAGCTGGGGCTGGATTTGGTTGACAACGAGGGCTTCAAGGAGTGGTTGTACGCGTTACGCCGCGTGGCTCCGAGTATGAATGCTTACATCCATCAATGTGACCAAGCTGCACACTGTGGATGTCATGCACAGATACACAGAACAGCCGCAGACTTCTTCTTTCGTCTTGCGGGGCTCCCACTGCCACCATATCCACGTGGAGTCAGAGATATTGAGGGAATCATATCCCACATCACTGAACGACCCTTCAGGTACATGAATCTTCTGATGGCGGATGATGGTCGTCGTTCTACCTCAACGGCGTCTGGTTTTGTGCAGCCATATACCTACACAGACGCTGGTGAAAATGGTCTTGTTGGCATGGAAGATACCCTACGAAATAAGGTGGTAAGGCTGTTCATGGATGATAGCAATGATCTTAAAGTAATCACAATCGTTGGACCTGCTGGGGTGGGGAAGACGACTGTTGCAAAGGTGATCTGCGACAAACTCCAAAAGAGGGGACACTGCCACGGCGAGGGTCGAGGTCACCCAAAGGCCTGATATGAAGGAGCTTCTCTGGAACATTCTGTCACAGATCCAGTTACCTGAAATCACCACGTTTGGAGATGAGCAGGAGCTACCCCTGCTGGTTCACGACATTAACAGATACCTGCAAGACAGGAGGTAATTTCTTTTCTTTTTCATTTACATTTTGCACAGTGTATTAATTTTAAGGACATGCGTTATCCCTGTGACAGTTCTTTACTTGACTGTCGTACTGTTATTATTTCTCATGACTTACATGGTTATAGTTTACTTTGAGTTTTTATCCTAGATATTATACTACAAGCCTCACTTGGATGATTTTTTATCCTTTGTTTACGGCTGCCGAGCTGTGTTACGACTTATGATGTGCTTATTTTTAAATAAATAAAATAGAATGAATTCTGATCTTTATCGAAAAAGGCTTTCGCCCCGCTTTATATATAAAGCAAACCGCCCGAGCCAAACATCCAACAAAATTCACACACACACAAACACACCCAAGGACACACACAAACAAATAAGGTAGCAGTAGGGTTAATGCATGCTGAGGGCACGGCTCAACAAGCCCTAAGAACAAAAGGACACACACAAAGACCACCACACAAGAAGCAGGCCTAATCAGGCTCCGGCGGCGGTGGCGGAAGCGGGGGCGCCATGCGGAAGGCCATCGATCGAAGGTCGGTGAGGAGGGTGTTGATGACGATCCGGTCCTGAGGGCGGCTAAGCGGCCGCCAGAGCTGCAAATAGCCACACATTTCAGTCGCACGTCGCAGAGGCACTTTCTGAATAACAAGCTTGTTGCGAATATTCCAAAGCGTCCACGCGAGGATCCCAATGCACAGCCATCGTCTAATATGGCGGTACTGCGGGGAGGAGGCATGGATCTCCGCGAGTAAGTCGGGGAAGTTGGTATTGCACCATTGTCCGCCGACCGTTTCACGGAAGCACGACCACAGGAACTAGGCAGTGGGGCCGTTGAAGAAAATGTGGTTCGAATCCTCAGCCGTGACGCACAAGGGACACATCCCGTCCCCAGGGCCATTGCGCTTGCGGACTTCAACCCCAGAGGGGAGGCGTCCCCGGATCCACTGCCAGAGGAATATCCGGATCTTTAGGGGGAGGCGTATTTTGATCTTTACCCCTTACTTTGACATTAATTACCCCATTTAGCGGAACTTTTGCCAGTTTTTACCCTATTTATTAGAAATTTTGTCAGTTTTTATCCCATTTATTATTCTATTAGTTGGGTCTTGGTCGTTTGGTACACGCCACGTCGCAATTCCCTTCCGATGTTTTTCCCCGTGCCGTAAACAGATTGAATGCTCCGTGCACTTTTTTCAGTCGTCAGGTGTACATACACAGTGCTTCACATTGATGAGTTACTTCTTCACATCACACAACTCCTTGTCTGTTGCTTCCACCTCATTCTTCCTCACCCATATTTGCATCTAGGTGATGTGTCATACTACTATCATAACACCATCGATACTTTGTCCGACAAAAGTACCTCTAAGGAGCTATCTGAAACCTAACATACTTAAAAGGGGGTAAAAACTAGCAAAATTTTTGCTAAATGGGGTAATCCGGACGAAAATATTTTAAATGGGAGTAATTAGCTTATAAAAATACTAAAGTAGGGGATAAAAATTGGAATTCACTATTTGAATATGTTGGGAAACGTAGCCACAAAAGTAGGCAAAATGAGTCAAACTAACACCAAAATCAAAATCTGATTAGGCAAACAGGTTTATCAAAATCCATGGCAATACCAACATAGTATTATTTTATCTTGTTTGCGGAGAGCTAGAGCTGGCTCTACGGGATTGTCTAGAGCTAGCACCAATGAGTTTTAGCAAATCCTTCAATAAATTGGTATTAAAGTACTGTACATTTGTGAAAGTTGTAGCGTAATAGATGTGAGACATAGGATTTATTTTTTGCTTTCAACCCCACTTTTGTTATATTTTGAATTGTTTCTTGGTGATGTATTCTCGTGTATTCATTTTGGTTTTAATATATACCCATGTTAATTTTGATATTCATATAAAATATGGAACAATTGTAGCCAAGAGCACACTTTAGGAATGCTTCATTGAAACCAAAAAGTGGACGCGGATTTTTCCTAACTAGTTAGGCGCGCAACGCGCAGGAAGTCAAATCAATGAGGCCCACAAGCTGTGAGCTTTGCATGGTATTACAACTACCAACGAATTTCGATAGTGCATACTATGTGTAGATGTATTCCACCTGATTGGACCGGCTGCGGGGCCAGCCCTATAGATTCGACTGTGGTCTACAGGTGCACATGCATCCTCCCAGGGCCCTGCTCCCAGTACCACTTTTGTCCTTACCGATTAGTAGTACTGATCTAATAGCTGCCCATGCATGCACGAGCTCGCATGATGAGTGAAGTGAGTGAACTCGATTAGATTCCTTAAATGTGCAGATTTTCTTCACTAGTATTAAATGAATTACCGTCTTGGTATAAAACTCTGGTGCTAAAAAGTTCAGTTAAGTTGCGAACAAACATTCCAAGATAGGGAAATAAAAGTGTGGCTGAAGAATTTCTGAGCCAACAAAAGTGTGGCTGAAGAATTTTTGAAGCTAAATTATTCATAGTTTTTGTATTAATATATTATGTAAATATACATTAATTTACTTAGTTGATTTTTTAATGGCGAGCTATTCAAAAAATAGTCCGCAAAATCCTTTATGCTTGTACACAAACGCACCGGGTATGCTAGATTAAAGTTCATTTAAGTGGGGTCTATCTTTATGCAATCGCCCGGTGCTTTCAGTAAAGTCCTTCGTGTTTGAACACGAAAGCACCGGGCATGCTATATTAAAATTTGTCATGCAGGGATCTATCCTTGTACAATCGCCCAATGAATTATGCAAAGTCCTTCATGTAGGTACACAAACGCACCGGGTATGCTAGATTAAAGTTTATTTAAGTGGGGTCTATCTTTGTGTCCGGCGCTTTCAGTAAAGTCCTTCGTGTTTGAACACGAAAGCACCGGGCATGCTATATTAAAGCTTGTCGTGCG